CGATGGATAATGCAGTCGCATAACAAAACATGCTTGTTGAGAAATACAAATGTCAGGCCAATCCCAGTTGCGAATAAAACATTCTTGTCCACTCGACGTCTTCCGTTTTCTACACAATACCCCGGGCAGTAATGGAGTAGTGATTTCACCGAAGGACGCATACAGCAGATCCCTCCGCATATTGTTCGACATGACTATTATTATGGTTAATAAAAACTAAGTATACAATTTAATATAGAGCCAGTGTATGGGTCACAACTACCGTCTCATAGTGTTGTATAATGTGATGTTCCCGCCAATCTCAATAAAATCAGACCTAAGTTCTCGCTGCGGCTAAACAAAGATTTCAGGACGTCCCATTACGGGTCACGTCAGACCGACCTTGCGCGAACTTTGACAAATAGAATGACCAATCAGAAGGCAGCTTTCTCGTGCTTTACGGCACTAATTTCAAATTGGCGACTACGCTTCGAAACATATTTCGACAAATTCTCGATTACAAATTTGAAACCTAAACAAAAGAACATTCAGGAATGGGTAATAGATGGTCTAGTTTGTAGGGATATAGTCGTTAAACCTGTAAAACTATCGTTCGGAATACCCCGTGTTAAGGTTTTCGAGGTTGTATGATTAGAAATCACATTCCGACTGTCAATTTCATGATCTGGTAAGCAACGCTCTCATTGGTCGGATGAAAGGTCGTTCTGACGTGACCGCTAATGGGATGTCTTCAGATCTTTGTTTAGCGGTAGCGAGAACTAAGGTCTGATTTTAATGCGATTGTGTTCCCGCGGAGTGTTGAAAATTGTGAATTTGGTTCAATATGGCTGGTTAATGAAACAGGGGGAGGTAACCAAAGCAATACTAAACTTGCTTCAATACATGGTACATTTCATCCTCAATCCAAGGTGTTGGTTTTGGTGTTGGTGTAGGTTCTACTATACACCAAATCAGAATCAGTTGTTCGGACAGCCGCTTCCGTAGAGTGTGCAGTGAAATATCTGGCAGCTGTGATTGGATGATATTGTGTAAGTCTTTTGTTTTGTAAAGGTATACCCATCCGGTAATAAGAACTGACCATATTTTTCAATATTTAGTGTTATCGTTTTTTAACATGATGAGAATGAGATATGCAGAATGTGACCACAAATATTTCCAAGTAAATGACATTTGGTGCGGAACTGGTGTTGGAGTGTTAAGCTTCCTGTACAAGGAAGTGGAGCTGGCTAAGCTAGCAAAAATTTGTGTTTTTAATGCAGCTTTAAGGCCAGGCTTGGCATACATGTACAAATTATGGCTATTGAATGCCTAGTTTTTAAAAATAATGTATAACGTTACTATGGAAAGCAATGGAAAACATTTCTTTATGTGTAACCTGTACATCATAGCAAGTGGGAGTATAGGTACAATGCGTACAATGTGGACAAAGGATCGCGTGCTGATGAGACACTCAGGAGATTATTAGTTTCGCTGATGTCACTTATGGGGTTCCGTCTTCTGGAGCGTCAAGTGCAGATAGCGGCTAAGTGAATCAGGGCAGATTTAGAGGTTTCTGGGTTGTAGTTTCAAGTATCTCAGTAGGAGAAGTTCAATGACGCAGGAATGACATGAAATCAAACGAAAATTGATTGAAATCAGGGCAGCGGACTAGCTCAAAGTAGGCTTTCTCTCAGAGTGTTAAATGACCTTTTCACACATTTGTATCATAGATGTGTGCTAGGTCGTTAATTCTGGCGATGACGTGGTATCGAACGAAAGTTGTCAGTCATTTGGACACCTATAATACCTGTCATAACTATGTTCCTTACGATCTGATCATTCAAATAAATACAACAATAATACCATGTCCTGTCCAACATATAAACATGTCTCACGGATAAAAGGTCAAAGTCAAGGATATTTATTGCATGTAAGGCCTCCGGCCCAAATACAGTAGTTTTACATATTTGGAAATATTCTCATGTTTAACAATTTGTTTCTGGGAGAAATTGCATTTTTAACACATATAACCAGTTTTAAAATGACAGCATCATCTTTCGAAGAAATGAGAGAAATAAAAACAGGTACAGAATGACTTGACAGATAGCGTTTTGGTATAAACTTTCTTCTTAGATCACAATAATAAGGATGTACAAAAGTAAAATGACTTTCATTTTCTATAGCTGAATGACATAATGGGCGCAGCCTCTTCGACTTTTCAGTGGACATTTTTCTTCCTTCATTTATCATGATCTAACAATCCGAGCCTATATTGAATAAGGACAGAGGGTTGAGAAAACTAAACAATATTTCAACATAAAATGTCAATTCAGGAGAATTACCGGTCTGTATAATCCACCCAAACAAATTCCATTGGCCGTAAAAGATAAAATAGTGGTGAAAAGTATATGCATGAATTCGTGAAAATCAGGATTGACACCAGGCGTTCGCGAAAAGGGTAACCATGTCCTGTGCTACCGATAGCACCCGCCACTCATACAAATTCTATAAAAAAGTTATTGTTGTTTATTGGCTGTACAACACTATTACTGTCCTGATTCGTTCTCAAGCTGCAAACTCCATAAGCTTTTCATGTATTTCAGTGAAACAATTCTCAAGGTTATTACTTATTGATAACGTTCTGACATGTGTGAAATATCGAATGTCATCTGAGTAGAAAGGTATTATACGCTGACGCGGTGTGATAGAACTCCTAACACGTATTGATTGGCTATAACCATTATCGTACCCATCAGGATCCGCTGCAAGTAGGCCAGATTTTCCCCGTGCCAAATCCTTGGTTTGTCAGCACCATATCCGTGCTCGCGGGTCCCACTAAAGGGGTAAACTTCCAGGACTTGCGTCACTTTCCTTCCACATGACATTGACACGCTATAATATGCGTCATACCTCCGCCCACTACACCCGTTGTTATTGTTTTCGTCATCATCATAATGGCTTTGTGCACGCAGTTCCTCCCATCGGATGCTGCTTTGAAAACTGATGATCAAAGTAATAAATTGTATCGCAATTTGTAGCTGATTTAATGCTAAATATAATAATGGCTAATATACTGTCGATCATTTTTGTATGCACGCACTGGTACTCGGTACTCTAAGTACACTGCCGGGCAAAAGAAAGTATACACTTGAAATTTGGATTCAACCAAAACATTTACAAACGTTACTTGAAAACAGAAGCCTTTTGTGAGATACTCATTGATATGATGTATGCAATATAGGTTATAATACCCGTATCAAATAAACCATCATCGAATATTCATTTCTTTTTTGTTTCATTTTTAGCCATCATCAAACATGGGTGTATACTTTCTTTTGCCCAGTAGTTTAGTCTTATTCGTTTTAATAATGTTGTTTGTTTTAAGCCGCAGGCAGCAAAATTACAGCTCTATCACGGCGGCCTGTAAATAACAGAATCTGGGATAGACAAACCAGTGGTTGATGTTATGAACAACAATCCGCGTCGAGGGTTATAGTGTCCAGTATTGTCCACCTGAATCCAATACAATTTGTCTCTGGATGACTTCTGCCTCTGGCTTTGTTTGTTTGTTTGTTTGTTTGTTTGCTTGTTTGTTGTTTAACGCCGCACTCAGCAATATTCCTGCTATATGACGTCGGTCTGTAAATAATCGAGTCCGGACCAGACCTTCAGTGATGGACATCATGAACATCGGTCTACGCAATTGGGATACGTTGACATGCAACAACCAAGTCTGACAACCCGATCCATTTAGTCGCCTCTTACGAGAACATGGGCAGGATATCAAATAGTCCGATACTGAACCCATCGCCACCATAATAATGCTCCTGTTTATGCCCAAATATCATAATTCCATGACCGTGCAGTGCAACGATTATTTTTCAAAATAATGGATCCGCCTCTGACTGGAATTATGCAATTTTCCTTCTTCAAATTACGCGTATTAAGAGATTATGACCTCGCCATACCTCGCAACGTACATGCCCAACTCCGGCCCTGCCGCAGGGTATCTTAGTGCAGAGCACAGCTTGAACGTGCAACACGCAAAGCTAAAATCGATATTTGATCAGATCTTTGACCTCATCAAGAAACAATGTTTTGTATATCTTTTTCCAACACCATTAAGTCTCCAGGGAAATATGCTGTACCTGCTGCCGTATTTGTAACAACATTTCCAGTGTCATAACAATCAGATTCTTTCTTTCCAAGTTTAAATTTAGTGAAAAAAATTACAGAATCAATTTCAAAACTTTCAATCTTCATCCGTGAAATTTGCAAAAACAGACAGGCACGATTTGATCTAAGGGAAACCATATAGCGTCCTTTCGAAGGTTTCAGAAGAACAAACAGTGTCTTGATGCTGGCATGTCTTTCCAAGAGACCTGTACAATTACCTGTGATCATCCGTACCCCAAGGACGGACCCTGGGCCCGGAGGCATTAAAATCCGGACTGATTACACCCAAATCGATGTTTGGCAATCAGGAGATTTGAAATTCGATTGAGTTTTTTTCCCAAATGAGTCGATGCTTCTTTCCGTCGGAGGGGACACGGTGTAAAAAAACCAGCTAGAGTATCAATGGCTGCACATTCATGAGCCTGCTCACGAAGATTCTTGAAATCTCTTCTGATCAGGCCATATTGCTGTACCGTTGGACGTTTACCGGGTTTTCTTAGTTCCTCCAAATCACCCAGGGATTCAATTGCGACAAGAAAATTGATTTTCCTACCAGAAGACGAGCCCTGCTGTTTAATCAAAAATTAGGCTGTCGGTTGCGGAATTATGTTATCTGCAGATTCACCTTGGGCCCTGTCATCAGTAGAGGCTAGATATGGGTCAGATTCTAGATCGTTGTCTCATCTCGCCAGGATAATGACCCTAGTCAAAGGCAGCACTTTACCGATCACATAGTGGAAATGGCTGGCGCATCTGTAAGGAGTAGTATCTGACTGGTAATGTTACGTTATGTGACGGACTTAAACATCGATTGATTTTGGAAGGTTTAGTTTTTTCTCTGATGCTCATGGACCTAAGCATTGGCTGATTCGGAAGAGTGGGGTGGGGTTCTTTGGAGTAAGGGTGCGGTGGGGTTCTCTGGAGTAAGGGTGGGGTGGGGTTCTCTGGAGTAAGGGTACAGTGAGGTTCTCTGGAGTAAGGGTGCGGTGGGGTTCTCTGGAGTAAGGGTGCGGTGGGTTTCTCTGGAGTAAGGGTGCGGTGGGGTTCTCTGGAGTAAGGGTGGGGTGGGGTTCTCTGGAGTAAGGGTGGGGTGGGGTTCTCTGGAGTAAGGGTGCGGTGGGGTGGGATTCTCTGGAGTAAGGGTGGGGTGGGGTTCTCTGGAGTAAGGGTGGGATGGGGTTCTCTGGAGTAAGGGTGGGGTGGGGTTCTCTGGAGTAAGGTTGCGGTGGGGTTCTCTGGAGTAAGGGTGCGGTTGGGTTCTCTGGAGTAGGGGTGCGGTGGGGTTCTTTGGAGTAAGGGTGGGGTGGGGTTCTCTGGAGTAAGGGTGGGGTGGGGTTCTCTGGAGTAAGGGTGGGGTTCTCTGGAGTAAGGGTGCGGTGGGGTTCTCTGGAGTAAGGGTGCGGTGGGGTTCTCTGGAGTAAGGGTGCGGTGGGGTTCTCTGGAGTAAGGGTGCGGTGGGGTTCTCTTGAGTAACGGTGCGGTGGGGTTCTCTGGAGTAAGGGTGCGGTTGGTGTTGGGGTGGGTGTGGGTGTGGGGAAGAGATGCTGAAAGGGTGCCACATCCCTTTTTTCATACAGCTTCAAGTTACATCTTACATCTGGTAATACGTCACCACCTTTTCAAAGTCCTATGGCCGCCTCAGCTATGGATGGTATTAAACGGGCTTCGTCATCTGCATTACAGTAATCACACACGCAAGCTCTAGACTAAATCTCCAAGGGCACCTGGATATAGGTCACGCTGCAGTTTATCCGAGAAGGCCGATTGCAGACTTGCACAAGTCTCTGAGGCAATACTTATTAGTTAAAATCATAATTTCTAGATTATGTAGGATAGGGTAAGTTTTATTCCATACTGAAAGGCCTCAGGCCCATAGTACAATTCTGTTTTCTGGGAGTGGTTACTGATCCGTTTAAGAGGTCATATTCTAATTAACATAGCATGATAAATGAACATTGATAGATTTTTTAGAGTATCTTTATCAGTTGTTGACATGATCGTTGTAAATCTTTGTAGAGTGGGATGTACATAACAAGGCTGATCAATATATTTTCTTCTAAGGTGGTCGTGATTATGTAAATAATAAGAACAAGTTGTTCCTATAACAGACTGGAGTCCTTAGTTTACTGTCCACATATCTAGACTTGCCTGTTAGGAGGATAGGATTACTACGCATCCATGGACGTTTCTTTCAGTACAGCCGTGGAGAATGTCTACCCGATGGGTGGTCGAGTGACTAAAGCGTCACATGCCACACCCAATGCCCAGGCGTGATTCCCCACTGCCATTTGTGGCAAAACTGAATTTGTTTTCTGTCCGCTTGTGGTACACAATACACATATCTATCCTGGCTTGTATACACAACTACCATAGCATCGAACCGAACCAAACTGCTGTAACCAGCATTTATCAAATACGGTTGTCGTGGAAACGCGTTTATGAGAGTTCTCATTCAGATCTAAACAGAGACTAGTATCGGCCAAATAGCGGAGTGCGAGTGTAAAGGTTTCTAGCTATGTCACAGCAGGGACATAATGAATCGGGACACCAGTTTGGAAATGGAACCAGGCGTTACCAGCAAACGTTTTAACCACTAGACTACCCCGCCTCTACCGAGTAAGAACAAGACTAGGAGACATGTATATGTATTGAAGGCTTTAGTAGTACATTGTACAGTGGTTACCATGACAACCGCTCGCAAAAGGGGATTCTGTGGACAAAATGGTCTCTATGTTATGCGCTTTGATAGTTTCAGTTGAAATAAGAGAGGCGCGGCTGTTGCAGGGAACGTTGTGGTCCAAATCGCCGAAATATGCTGTTAGGACCCTTAGCTACTAGGATCCGCTAAATGGTGTGATCGAATCCCAGATCGTTCGTGTCATAAAAGGCTGTTAGCTTTCAAATCGTCCGTGCTTCTATCCAAGTCTCTTTAGAAAATAAACATGCCACACATTAAGCAGGCGCCGATCATAAAACACGCAAACCAGATATGGAGGTAATAATTCCCAAACACCTTGTTTTATGGGACAGTCAGACACACAGCAGTATATCACAGCATTATCGGGGCGGTGGGGTAGCCTAGTGGTTAAATCGTTCGCTCGTCACACCTAAGGCCCGGGTTCGATTATCCACATGGGTGATGTCCCCGCCGGGACATTGTGTTGTATTGCTAAAAGCGGAGTAAAACCATACTCACTCACTCACAATAGCTGTATATAATCAAGCTTGGACCAGCCAAACCAGCGACTGACATTAACTGTGAACACCATCCGATCCCAAGGTTACTTGGGTTTATTGCTGCCCGGCGTGGACTGTAGTCATGCCGTCAGGATACATGTGTACAGTTAAAGCCGACATATGGTGGTATGGTTGGCCTAGTCGGAATTTGCGGTGTAGTATTACCTCCCTTAGAAGTGCCAGAATCCGATGATCAGGTTTGTCAATAGGATTTTTGTTTTGCTACCATCTCTGTACGTTTAGAGTGGAAAGCGTATAGGACCTGCGTCACATCGGGCCATGGTATGTTACTGAAATAATAAACAAAGCCGCGTTAAACCAAATTCACTCATTCACTCACGTGTTTCGTTGTCTTCCCCTTCCTTCCTTCCTTAATTCAGCACATCCGCAGAAATCTTGATAACTTAAGGGGCGGTGGGGTGCATTGTGGTTGAAACATTCGCTCATCACGCCGAAGCCTGTGTTCGATTCCATACATGGGTACATTGTGTTAAATCGATTTCTGGTGTCTCCTGCCGTGATACTGCTCGAATATTGCTAAATGCGGAGTAAAATCCTACTCACTCACTAGCTCACTTAAATTACAGTAACCTTCACGGTGAAAATGGTCACCTATTGAAGATTAACACAGTGATATGAAGAAACAGATTGTATTCCCCCTGGGTTTAAGCGGGGATGATTCTAGACAGGGATACCAGTCTAGCTGATCTAATACCGGAATACACTGTTGACCTGCGTTGATTAGTCAGAGGCGCAGCGCAGCTCTGGACAGTGTCGGTGTCAATGGCGAGACTCTCCCCGAGTTCCGGGACTGGATCGCAAGCCCCGATCTGCATGTCGGACCGGTCGTGCCGCCTCAGAGAAAGTTGAAATAGGACAGATGATTGCAAAAGCTATACAATATAGCTACACAATGACGCCAGGACATACCCAATCACGGTGGATGTTTTCTTATCTGTTAATAAGTGACCGCTTGATTAAGGTGAGAGATTCCAATCAGAGAGTATTGAATTAGGTTTTACGCGCTGGTCGGCCGTGCTCTCCCGGAGGTACACAATGGATAATCAAGTCTGGAGCAGAGAACACCATGCCTGGTACAGAATGGATTGAATGAGTGAGTGCGTTGGGTTGAACGCCTTTAAGTGTATTTCATTAACACGGCGTATCAATCGAATTAATTAACGCAGATCGTAGGCGTTTTATCATGTTGGTGAACCCTCGAGCACAGGTATGAAGCTGGCATTTTATGATAATCGAGGGGATAATTATGGATTCGAACCCACGATCAAAGGATCAAAATATGGCGTAGGTTGAGGTACAACAGTGAAGCAGATCGAAGTCGTTGTGAGATCGATACCAAAGCAGCCTGATTGATGCGAGGGTTAATGCTTCATGATTAATCCAACCCATGCTTGTCGTAAAAGGCGACTAACGGGATCGGGTGGTCAGGCTCGCTGACTTGGTTGATGCATGTCAACGATCCCAATTGCGTGAATCGATGCTCATGATGTCAATCACTGGATTGTCTGGTCCAGAGGTACACAATGGATAATCAAGTCTGGAGCAGAGAACACCATGCCTGGTACAGAATGGATTGAATGAGTGAGTGCGTTGGGTTGAACGCCTTTAAGTGTATTTCATTAACACGGCGTATCAATCGAATTAATTAACGCAGATCGTAGGCGTTTTATCATGTTGGTGAACCCTCGAGCACAGGTATGAAGCTGGCATTTTATGATAATCGAGGGGATAATTATGGATTCGAACCCACGATCAAAGGATCAAAATATGGCGTAGGTTGAGGTACAACAGTGAAGCAGATCGAAGTCGTTGTGAGATCGATACCAAAGCAGCCTGATTGATGCGAGGGTTAATGCTTCATGATTAATCCAACCCATGCTTGTCGTAAAAGGCGACTAACGGGATCGGGTGGTCAGGCTCGCTGACTTGGTTGATGCATGTCAACGATCCCAATTGCGTGAATCGATGCTCATGATGTCAATCACTGGATTGTCTGGTCCAGACTCGATTATTTACAGACCGCCGCCATATAGCTGGATTATTGCTGAGTGCGGCGTTAAACAGCAAACCAACCAACCAACCAATCATGATTAATCCGAACAGTAGCTGTGTTCTATCCCTCAGCCCTCAATCCACCCCCACCCCCACCCACCCATGGAGGATCGTCTTGGTACATAAATATGTCTGGACCAGACAATACAGTGACTGACATCATGAGCATCGGTGTACGAAATTGTGATACTATGACGTGCATCAACCAAGTCAGCGAGCCTGACCACCCGATCCCTTTAGCCGCCTCTTACGACAAGCATAGTCGCCTTTTACGACAAGCATGGGTTGCTGAAGACCTATTCTAACCCGGATCCTCACCGGTGAGTTTAATTCCTCTTTGCATGGAGTCGACGACCGCCTGATGGCCACAATGCTCGTGAGAGGGAAGATTATTATTTACATACCGCTGTCATATAGATGGAATATTGCTACGTGCAGCGTTAAACAACAAACAAACAAACAAACAAACAAACAAACACAATTCGAAAATGTGAGCTTTACCTCTGCATTTCTGTTGGTGGTATAAACCCAAGGAATGAAACTGGGATTTGTTATCGCTTTTTGACACATGCACGTGTACGCATACACACGCACGTACACACAGCATGGAGCCTTAACCGGTAGATGCAGCTGACTCTGTCGCTTTATACCCATACTACTGATACAGCCACTCTATCTATACCTACTGATAATAAGGTTACGGCGTCGACTCTGATAGACATTTAAGCAGATTTGACTTGATTTATTGAAACTATACATTTTAGTCCCCACGCTTTGAACTAAGCTAATATGACACCACAGCAGTGACCTTTGGCCATAAGGGTCACCCTAAACATTCCTCTGAGATAAATCTGCAACAATATCCATGCAGACAGACAACCTGTCAAGCATCTGCGAGCAGGCTCAGTACCACGATCACACATTGAGCATGGCTGGGTTAGCCACTTCACCGTCGCTCTAATGATGTGATCTAACATTGGTGTTTCGTCAAACCAGGGTCAAAAGAAATATCAGAGCTATCCAGTCATACTTAAAACCACATAAGAAGTTCTGTTTCTTATCACCGACCGTCTCTATTTTCGCAATGTTTAATTCGGTTCCGGTTCCGCATTTTTAGAGCTATGTTCGCTTCTGAAGTTGCACTTTTTCATGTAACCCATAAACCGGTCCTGACGCCCTGTAAAGGAATTCTTGATCGTGCAAACAGGAAAGGTTGCGAAGTTTTGCAACATACGAAGAGTGTTTTTACGGAAGCTCAATAGTGCCACAAAATTGTATTTTTTAGTTTTTCGAATTCTTATCATTAAAATTCGGCATGCTATCTTGAAAATTCATGTTCTTATCTGGCAACAGTTACTCAGACTAGAAAATGAAGCCTCAGGAAATTCAATTGCTGAATTCTTTAATTTTCAAAATAGAATCTTGAATTCTATACTTAATACCTTTGATTTTCAAGGTATACTTCTAAAACAGTTAAGGACCACCCGATCCTTCGATATTACTATAGTAATCTGTTATATTTTCACCGCTATTTTGCTTTTACGCCCAATGGAATATGTTTCGGCGGATAAACGAGACTGCGTATTCTCTGCCGATGACGTGTATGTTTACCAACACTTTGATAAAGCTATTTAAAGAGCCGACCTCGACTAGCAATCCCTGTCCAACCCCGCCCCAAATAAATGTAAACATATGTAAAAATAACCAGCGATTTATTACCAAAACAATACAATTAACATCAAAATAAAATCAAGCAAAACAACCCCAAAACAATATAAAACGTAAATGCCAAAGAATAATCAAGCTCGATTATTCGGCGAACCTGACTCCATTTGACGCAAAAAGGCAAAACAGTGATGAATGTTATATACTGACGCCAGGTGTCCTGCCCAGCCCCGTGGTCTAGTGGTAGAGCGTCCGCCCGGAGCGCGGAAGGTCCGGGGTTCGCTCCCCGGTCGCGTCATACCAAAAGACGTTGAAAGATGGCACTTGTTGTTACCCTGTCTGGCGCTCGGCATTAAGGGGCTAAAACAAGGACTGGTCGGCTCGACATCAGTATGCTGTGTCTGAGTGGGGTATTTATGTTAAACTGCGGCATGGTATCTCAGTGAGCTGGCACTATAAATCGGCATCAGTCCTTCCGGACTAGTTTAAGCAACCACTAACACACACACACACACACACACACACACACACACACACACACACGTGCATGCACGTCTCTATATAAGTGCAATAATCTTGTTCGCGACGTTAAACCACATTTCACCTCCTGTCAGACCGGTAGTATTTGTTGCCTGAACAACTCTGAACAACTCACAAACGTACAACCCAACGAAATAAAACCCCTAAAAAAATGTAATCAAATAACATGAGCATACATGTCGACACACAGGTTTTGACGTCTACTTTTGTTCCATATTAAACCACAAATGATCTGCTCCTTTGTGTTTGTATACCTAACTGAACGTTGAAGTAAATCGTGCATCACTCCTACTGTCCTCTAGGTCCAGACTGGCGGTAGACGACTGTTGCGCCAGGTAAGCGTGCGCTGCCACCATGTATTGATTGCCACGACTTGACAGACACGACTGCAGCGGCGCTCTGTCCAGCGCATCAATGGACGTGAAATTGGGTGTTGCGCACTGCAATCATTGATTCGCTAGTACCATAAAAGTGACATAAATTCCTTACTCTGTTATTTTCGGAGACATGGAGGATTCGCGAAGGGCGCGGCCCTGCTAAAGAAGACATACTGCCCATTAACGAGAGATAATCTATATATTTGAGCAGACTTTCCATTGGTAATTGACATCAAGACGAGCGTGGCTTCGGTGGTCACGTGGTGCCTACAGTAACTTGTAGATCAGTCGAGTTAAATGAGTGACTAGTGTCACTGACATGCGCAGTGACCCCCGTTGTCATGACGGTCGCACTGCGAATTGTGCAATGCGACAGTGATGAATAGTTGTTTTGGAGGCACCGCCCGTAATGCGGCTTCATGAACGGCAAACACGACTACACATGGCGTTGCATCGACGTTGGCAACAATGCCTTAGGTGGTCGATGACGATGACGGTGCTTTCAACTCGAGTGTTATTGAAACTTTGTTTCATCTCACAGTATTATGTGTAAATATTGTCTTGTCAATACTCAGTTACAATGTTTCATCTATAATACAACATGGCGCCGTTGACATTTTGCAAGTACCCAAACAGTCACGTTATCGGTGTTTGAATATATCGGTAGAACTGGACCCAGTGATTGCTTCGTATTTCAGGCCCGTGAAAGCCATTAACTGACTTTACGACCCCAAAACGCTAAACGCTGTATGGGTTTATATTAATTATTATTTATCAATTCAACCGAACATTGACAGTCATTCATCGCCCTGTGCAGCGCTACTACCAACTGTTGTGAAATTATGTAAACCATCCCCGGGGGAGAGGGGGTGGGCTGGGGTGGTGGTATAATCTTACTGACTCTCAGTTTCTGAATTCACTATACTGTCGGCATCAATACATAATCAGTTATTCAAGCTTCCGTTGTCTTTATCTATAATTTGATCAGGTTTGTTTATCAAAGAGAAAGACGATCCGTATAGCCTTTTAAGGCATGTATTATTAAGAAAGCTAACATTTGTAAGAACTTGAGCAAAACTCTCCTGCAGCTTTGTGGTACTCTCCGACGAAGCCGTGGATGGAGGTTTGGCTGCTTGATGGAGCCGGCTGCTACAGCTTCTGATGAATAATTTACTCACTCT